ACACTCCATACTAAAAAAGGGAAACAACTCAACAGGAAATAACAATTATCAACCTATATGCACCCAATCAATGCACCCAATTTCATCAAACATACTCTGAAGGACCTAAAAACATATATAACTCCAACACAGCAGTAGTGGGAGACTTTAATACCCCATCACCAATAGATAGGTCATCCAAACAAAAAATCAATAAAGAAATCCTAGAACTAAATCACACCATAGATCAATGGATCTAGCCACTGCTGCAACAATATACATTCTTCTCAGCAGCCCATGGAACCTTTCTCCAAATGATCATATCTTAGGCACAAAGCAAGCCTCAACAATATAAGAAAATAGAAATAATCCCATGCATTCTAACTGATCACAATGCATTAAAATAGAATCAACAACAAAAACAATAAAAAACATGCAAACTGAAATTGGAGCAACACACATGCTCAATGATCAATGGGTCATTGATGAAATAAAGAGAAATTAAAAGGTTCCTGGAAGTTAATGAAAATGAAAACACACCTACCAGAACCTATGGGACATAACAAGGCAGTCCTGAGGAAAGTTTATAGCCATGAGTGCATATATTAAAAGGACAGAAAGATCCAAATCAAATGATAATGCTACATCTCAAACTCCTAGAAAAACAAGAACAAGCAAATCCCAAAACAAGCAGAAGGAAGAGAAATAATAAAATAAGGCTGAAATCAATGAAATAGAAACAAAAAACCATACAAAGAATCAATGAAACAAAAAGTTGGTTCTTTGAAAAAAAAAAGATTGACAGACCCCTGGCAACCTGACTAAAATGAGGAGAGAAAAACCCAAATCAGTAAAATCCAGAAATGCAAAAGGGAGATAACAACAAACACCAGGAATCAGGAAATTCAGAGACTACTTTGAGAACCTATATTCTAATAAATTTGAAAATCTTGAAGAAATGGACAGATTTCTAGATACTTAACCATCCAAAATTGACCAAGAGAATAATCACCTGAATAGATCTATAACACAAAAATGAAATTGAAGCAGCAATAAAGAGTCTCCCAAAAAAGAAAAGTCCAGGACCTGATGGATTCTCTGCTGAATTCTATCAGACCTTTAAAGAAGAACTAATACCAACTCCTCCTTAAACTGTTCCACAAAAGAAAGGGAAGAAAACGCCTAACTCATTTATGAAGCCAGTATTACATCATCCCAAAACCAGACAAAGACACCTCCAAAAAGGAGAACTATAGGCCAATCTCCTTAATGAACATCGATGCAAAAATCCTCAATAAAATAATGGCAAACCAATCCACAACACATCAGAAAGATCATTCACCATACCAAGTCAGGCTTCATCCCAGGATGCAGGATGTTCACATACCAAAATCTATAAATGTAATACAGCACATTAATAGAAGCAAAGACAAAAACCACTTGACATTCAATAGATGCAGAAAAGCCTTCAACAAGATTCACACCACTTCATGATAAAAGCTCTAAGAAAACTAGGAATAGAAGAAAGTATCAACATTATAAAGGCTATATATGACAAACCTATAGCCAACATCATACTTAATGGAAAAACTGAAACCATTCCCTAAAATCAGGAATGAGACAAGGGTGCCCACTATCCACTCCTATTCACATAGTACTGGAATTCAGCTACAGAGCAATTAGGCAAGAAGAAGAAATAAAAGGAATACAAATAGGTAAAGAAACTGTCAAAATATCCCTATTTCAGACATATGATCCTATACTTAAAGACCCAAAAAACTCTACCCAAAACTCCTAGACACCATAAACAGCTACAGCAAGGTGCAGGATACAAAATCAACTTACAAAAATCATTAGCTTTTCTATACACCAAAATGAACAAACTGAGAAAGAATATATGGAAACAATTCCATTTACAATAGCCTCAAAAAAAATCAAATACCTAGGAGTAACTTAACAAAGGATGTGACCTCTACAAGGAGAACTACAAACCCCTGAAGAAAGAGATCAGGAAGACTACAGAAGGTGGAAGATCTCCTGCTCATGGATTGGTAGAATCAACATAGTAAAAATGGCTATACTACCAAAAGCAATCTACATGTTTAATGCAATTCCCATCAAAATCCAATGACATTCATCACAGAGATTGAAAAATCTACTAAAGTTCATTTGGAAACACAAGAGACCAAATAGCCAAGGCAATACTCAGCAAAAAGAGCAATGCTGGAGGTATCAACAATACCCACTTCAAACTATATTACAAAGCAATAGCAATAAAAACAGCATGGTACTGGCACAAAAACAGACATGAAGACCAGTGGAACAGAATAGAGGACCGGAATATGAATCCACACAGCTATGCCCACCTTATTTTTGACAAAGGACAAAATATATGGAGAAAAGACAGCCTCTTCAACAAATGTTGTGGGAAAAGTGGTTATCCATCTGCAAAAAACTGAAACTAGATCCATGTCTATCACCCTGTACTAGTATCAACTCAAAATGGATCAAGGACCTTAATATCAGACCCAAAACTGAAGTTAGTACAGGAAAGAAGCAGGAAACACTCTGGAAGTAATAGGTATAGGCAAGGACTTCCTCAATAGAACCCCAGCAGCTCAGCAACTAAGAGAAAGGATGGACAAATGGGACTTCATAAAATTAAAAGCTTCTGCACAACAAAAGAAATGGTCTCTAAACTGAAGAGACCACCCACAGAGTGGGAGAAAAATTTGCCAGCTATACATCAGACAAAGGACTGATAACCAGAATATACAGGGAACTCAAAAAACTAAACTCTCCCAAATCAATGAACCAATAAAGAAATGGGCAACTGAACTAAACAGAACTTTCTCAAAAGAAATTCAAATGGCCAAAAAACACATGAAAAAATGCTCACTATCTCTAGCCATAAAGGAAATGCAAATTCAAACCACACTAAGATTCCACCTCACCCTGTTAGAATAGCCATCATTACAACACCACTAACAACAGGTGTTGGCAAGGATGTGCTGAAAAAGGAACCCTTACACTGCTGGTGGGAATGCAAACTAGTACAACCACTCTGGAAAAAAATTTGGAGCTTCTTAAAAATCTAAACATAGATCTGCCTATGATCCAGCAATCCACTCCTGGGATATACCCAAAGGAATGTGACTCAGGTTACTCCAGAGCACCTGCACACCCATGTTTATTGCAGTGCTATTCACAATAGCCAAGTTATGGACAAAAGATGCCCTACTGATGAATGGATTAAGAAATGTGGTATTTATACACAATGGAATTTTACTAGCCATGAAGAAGAATGAAATCTTATCATTGCAAGTAAATGGATGGAACTGGAGAACATCATTCTGAGTGAGTTAGCCAGGCTCAGAGACCAAAAAATCCTATGTTCTCCCTTATATGTGGACTTTAGATCTAGGCAAATACAGCAATGTGGTTGGACTTGGGTCACATGACAGACGGAGAGGGGATAGGTAAGAACCCAAAATATGATAGTATTTGATGTCCCCACTGCAGAGCAACTAATACAGAAACCTTAAAGCGAAAGAGGTCAATAGGAGAAGGGGATCAGGAACTAGTGTAAAGATCAGTTAGAGATGAATCAACATGGGATGACACATTTGTACATGGAAGCAATGCAGGAATCTCCTGTATAGCTATTCCTTCTCTCAACTAGCAAACAACTTTGTCCTTTCTTATTATTGCGTTATGTCTCTCTTCAAACAAAATTAGAGATAAGGGCAAAACGGTTCCTGCCTAAGCAAGGGGATGGGGTGGGGGGTGGGGGGGCAGGGGAGAGAAATGACCCAAACATTGTATGCACATGTGAATAAATGAATACAAAAAAATACCTAAAGGCAAAAGGGCCAGGGGCATGGCACAAGTGGTAGACAACTTGCCTGGCAAGCGCAAGGCACTAAGTCCAAACCCAGTACCACCAAACAAACCAAACAAACTTTGATTTTGGAGTACTTTAGGTTCTAGCTGAAGCAGAGTTCCCCATAAATGTCCTATTTGTACATTCACAGCCCTCCTACAACCCTGGAAGCCACTGCTCTTTTTACTGTCCCTGTAGTTTTCCCTGTTTCAGAATGTCATATTACTGGAATGATACAGTGTGTAGCCTTTTCGGATTGGCTTTTTTCACTTAATAGCCATTTTTATTTATTTATTTTTTTTGGTGGTACTGTGGCTTGAACTCAAAACCTGCCTGACACTTGCTATGCAGGTAGCTTACCAACTTGGGGCCACTCACAGCCCTTTTTGTGTGGGTAATTTTTGAAATAGGGTTGAGAACTATTTGCCCAAGCTGCTTCAAAACTATGATATCCTAGATAAATCTCTGTCCCCTTAGTAAGCTGGGAATACAGGCATGAGCCCCAGAACTGGCAATCATTAGGTATTCTTACTAAGATAACCCACAAATGTTTTAACCACACATTTCCACATGACCACTCTCATGTGGGCAGTACAAAGAAGGCAGCCTCTGGGGCCAGGCATGAAGTGCAGGAGCAGCTGTGTTGAGTCTGCAGGAAACGTGTGTCAAGGTGGCAAAGTGAGCTGGAGAGGGCCCACTCCAAATAAACGCATCCACATCTAACTGCAGATGACAATGCAGTTTATGTCATGCAGTGAGGACCACCAGTGGGCAACCCCCATTCTAAAAGCATTCAATGGCAAAAGCCACCTGAGCCAACACCATCACGCTGACACACTTCAAATGAGACAAATTTGTCACAACGATGTGAACAATATTTATGACAGCACAGGTTTGAAGAACTGAACCTGGGTTTCCAAGCGGGCTACTAAAATCTGAGGCTGTGGCTTTTTGCACACTGTACATGAAAGAACAAGTGAAAGTCCGTAAAGAAAAGGAGAATCAGTACTTCAAAAAGGGCACAAAGTCTTGTCTGACTTACATTTGAACAAATGGCATTTTCCGTTGGAAAAGAGAGTGCTGTGGTCCAAGAATTGCAGGCGATAAATACAGAGATGGAGTTCACTCGGGGGTCATTCCCCATCGAAGGCCCATTTCCATCAGTGACTGAAACTTTTATTCTGTTTATTTTGTTGCTGTTTCTATAAATTTGAAAGGAAATTATTGTTAGAAGTTAACTCACATCTACTGTAGTCCATTTGTTTATGAAAATTTCACAGGATGGATTTTTTTTTTTTAAGTAGTGGGGTTTGAACACAACTTACACATTGAGCCACTCCACCAGCCATTTTTTTTTGAGATAGGGTCTCACAAACTACTTTGCCTGCTCTGGCAGTGAACTTTGATCCTCCTGATCCCTGCCTCCTGAGTAGCTGGGATTGCAGATGTGAGCCACCAGTGCCCAGCCAGATTTTCTTTTACAAAGTTTTCAGACTATCTGGCCCCTTCCCAGTACTTGGGGAAGGTGGTGTGTGGCATTAGCCTGCTAGTCCTGAGCACCTGCATGTGTGTGCAGACTTTCTACTACTCACCTCAGCAACTCATCATCCTCCTTAAGATCTTCTTCAAGCTGTATGAATGTCTGAATCTTAAAAAGAGAATGTGCATTCAAGTTACTATTTAAGAGTCATTAAACTTACTCAAATTTTATTTCTATAAGAAACTAGCAGTTGCCTAGGATGCAGCAAGGGTCTTGGTTCCATCCCCAGCACTGCAAATCAACAATAGTAACAACACTAGAAAATAGTATTAAATGGTATAAATTAGTTGGAATAAACTGACTATTGCAGCTAAGGGTGAGAGATCAAACATGACAATATGATAAAACATTGCCTAGTTAACTAACAGCTATGTGCTACCAACATTATCAAAACAACTTTTAGATGAAATTAGGTGCATGTGCACCAACATATTCAAAGTGAAAAATCACTTTAAAAAGCTCCAATCTCAGAATTGGAGAACATCATTCTGAGTGAGGTTAGCCTGGCCCAAAAGACCAAAAATCGTATGTTCTCCCTCATATGTGGACATTAGATCAAGGGCAAACACAACAAGGGGATTGGACTTTGAGCACATGATAAAAGCGAGAGCACACAAGGGAGGGGTGAGGATAGGTAAGACACCTAAAAAATTAGCTAGCATTTGTTGCCCTTAACGCAGAGAAACTAAAGCAGATACCTTAAAAGCAACTGAGGCCAATAGGAAAAGGGGACCAGGGAAAAGGTTAGATCAAAAAGAATTAACCTAAAAGGTAACACACACGCACAGGAAATTAATGTGAGTCAACTCCCTGTATAGCTATCCTTATCTCAACCAGCAAAAACACTTGTTCCTTCCTATTATTGCTTCTACTCTCTCTTCAACAAAATTAGAGATAAGGGCAAAATAGTTTCTGCTGGGTATTGTGGTGGTGGGGGGGACAGGGAGGGGGTGGAGTGGGTGGTAAGGGAGGGGGTGGGGGCAGGGGGGAGAAATGACCCAAGCCTTGTATGCACATATGAATAATAAAACAATAAAAAAAATAAAAATAAAAAATAAAAAGGTCCAATCTCCTCTCAAGAGTAAAATATGTGTACTCACCAATTCAGAGACCATTATTGGCCACAGTGAGGTCAGATGTTGAGGAGATATTCTTAGCAGCAAAACTCTGAAAAAAAGAAACATCTGAGCAGCAACTATGGATGTCTGTCCAACTCTGAGATTGTCTGTCAGGCGTTCTAAGGAAAGAAGATTTTAAATATGTCATACAAATATGCAGTTTGAGGTTTCTCATTAACCAAAAAATACATAAAATTGTACCTGTTTTGCGCTTTTGACAAGACAGTCTAAGAGATGAGCATTGGGAAGATGTTTTGTGCATGAGCCTACCTCATTGTGAAGTACAGCAGGCCATGGCCCTTGTTAAAGGGGTGAATCAACAAAGGTATTGGATCTCTGATCCCACAAATCCCCAGATGGCCAATGACCACTTACATTTCCTTTGAAGAATAAGAATCATGAGACTCAGACACCCAAGATAGCCCTTGGCTGAGTGATGGATTCAGACATCACAGACTGTTTGGCAGACAGCAGTTGGTGGGGAGTGAAGCAAGGGAATAAGACAGACTGATCTAGTCAATTTTAGATTTGATGCCCATGACAAAAACTTTAATTCCTGCAAGTGAAATTCTCTAACCCCTAACATTCTTCCCCACTTTTCCACTGAAGGAATTCTTTGTGAAATGGGATTTTAAAGGTTTCTCTAGGGCTGGTGGAATGGCTCAAGTGGTACCTGCCTACCAAGTGTGAGGCTCTGAGCTCAAACCCCGCACTGCCAAAAAAAAAAAGAAAAAAGAAAAAAAAACCAACTTCTCTAATACGCTGCTAGAGTTAACAACAGAACTATGGTGATGCTAGCTAATATTTGCTGTAGTACATCAGTAATAAACTTCTATTTATTTGAGCTAGCTAAAGTAGGTTTTTATTTCTTGTCTTTGAAGTACTCTGACCTGAGCGGGGTATGGTGGCCTGCAATACCAGCACTTGTGAGGCAGAGGCAGGAAGAACGAGAGTTTGAAGCCAGCCTGGGAAACACAGATCCTATCTTGAAAGAAGAGAAAAGAAAAAAAAAAAGAAGAGCCAAATGGAAATTTTAGAATGAAGAAAATCAATTCACAGAAAGAAGAGAACTCCTGAATGACTCAGTAGGAGAGGAATGAAGGAAGATCAGAACAGATAAAATAAAATAAGAAAGGCGCCTGACACTGGTGGCTCACGTCTGTATCCTAGCTACTCAGAATGTAGAGATCAGAAGGATCATGGTTTGAAGCCAGCCTGGGCAAATAGTTCACGAGACCCTATCTCGAAAAAAACCATCACAAAAAAGAGTTGGTGGAGTGGCTCTGAGTCAAAACCCCAGTACTAAAATAAATAAATAAACAAATGAATAAATGAATGAATGAATAAGAAAGGTAAACACGCCCAACAATCTCAGGGACCAGTGGAGATAACAACATATCTAAGATCTGTGCCATTTCAGTCTCAGATGGAGAGGAAAGCACATAGGTTGGAAAAATATGTGAAGAAACTGTGACTGTAAACATCCAAAATTCTGACCTTTTCTCAAAAAAAAAAGTCCCCCAAACAAAAATCTGGAAAAGATGACATTGAGTCACTGGCACTAAGATTTCCTGGTTTTGGTAAAGGCACTATGGTTATGTGAGATGTTCTTACATGGGAAGCTGCATGAGTGATACAAAGAAACTCTTGGTACTATTTTTATAACCTCTTGCAGGTCTTAATCTATTTCAAAATACAAAATACTAAAAGAAAGCTTTATAGCCAGGCTTTGGTGGCTCACACCTGTAATTCTAGTTGCTTGGGAGACAGAGATCAGGAGGATTGCAGTTCAAGGCCAGCCCAGGCAAAAAGTTAGCAAGATTCCATCTCAATAAATAAGCCAAGGGTGGTAGTGTATTTTTGTCATCCCAGATATTCCGGAGGCCATAGGTAGGAAGACTGTAGTTCAAGACTGGCCTGGGGCAAAACCAGGAGACTCTATCTGAAAAATAACTAAAGCAAAAAAGGGATTGGGGTGTGGTTCAAGTGGTAGAGAGCCTGCCTAGTAAGTGCAATGTCCTGAGTTCAAGCCCCCAGCACTGCCAAAAAAACCTGCAGAGAAACCCCAAAAAACAAAATTACAAAAACAGAAATACTGCCAGGTGCTGGTGGCTCATGCCTGCAATCTTAGCTACTTAGGAGACAGAAATTAGGAGGATCACAATTCGAAGCCAACTGGGGCAAATAGTTTATGAAACCCTATCCTAAAAAACCTATCACAAAAAGTGCTGGTAGAGTGGCTCAAGGTGTAGGTCCTGAGTTCAAACCCCAGTACCACAAAAATAACAACAAAAACCAAAACCAAGAACACAAATACCAAGGTTTGGGTTTAGCTCAGTGGCAAGTAAGTGAAAGTGTAAGTGGTAAGTGTAAGGCCCTGCGTTCAATCCCTAGAACTGAAAAACAAGACAAAACCAAAAACAGCCAAAGAAATCCCTACCTAATTATCTGCTTTCTCTTTTTTTGAGATAGGGTCTTACCCAGGTTGGCCTTGAACTTGTGATCCTCCTGCTTCATCTGCCCAAGTGCTGGGATTATAGATGTATGCTACCATACCTGGCTAAGTAAAACGTTTTTAAAAGGTAGAGTAAGATTTATAACATAATTTTACATTCCACTGATAAGTGGGTGAACACTATGGAATAGAATATTATTTAGCAACAAAAAGTAAGAAGCTACTGATAATTATAAGAATATGGATTACTCTCAGACACATCATGCTAAGGGAAGAAGCCAGATGTAAAGGCTACCTACTATGCAATCACAAGTAGATGGAATTCTAGAAAAGACAGAACCACATCACCAGAAAGCAGACTTGGTTGGCTAGGACTGAGGGGAGGGGCTCACAGAAGGGGCACAAGGGAACTTTTGGGGAGATGAATATTCTACGTCTTGATTGTGGTGGTGTTTGCATTACATGTCCATCGAAATTCATAGCACTTTACAGCCAAGGGCTGATATATACGATACTGTTCTACCTCAATAAGCTTGAAGAAAAAAAGGAGTTATTCCATAGTTCTATTATTTGTAGAACTTTCATATTAGCCTTCATAACATCAAATTTTTAAAAATCCTTCAAGAATGGCATTGATTTTTTTTTATATCATTTAGCCTGTGAGTATTAAGGAAAATAAATTCCTACTTGAGAATTCTTTCATATCTTGGGGAGGGAGAACTGAGAACACAATGTCCACTTTGCCACCTTAACATTTTTTTTTTCATTTTTCTTTTATTATTCATATGTGCATACAAGGCTTAGTTTATTTCTCCCCCCTGCCCCCACCCCCTCCCTTACCACCCACTCCGCCCCTCCCTCCCCCCACAATACCCAGCAGAAACTATTTTGCCCTTATCTCTAATTTTGTTGTAGAGAGAGTATAAGCAATAATAGGAAGGAACAAGGGGTTTTGCTGGTTGAGATAAGGATAGCTATACAGGGCATTGACTCACATTGATTTCCTGTGCGTGGGTGTTACCTTCTAGGTTAATTCTTTTTGATCTAACCTTTTCTCTAGTTCCTGGTCCCCTTTTCCTATTGGCCTCAGTTGCTTTAAGGTATCTGCTATTAGTTTCTCTGCATTAAGGGCAACAAATGCTAGCTAGTTTTTTAGGTGTCTTACCTATCCTCACCCCTCCCTTGTGTGCTCTCGCTTTTATCATGTGCTCAAAGTCCAATCCCCTTGTTGTGTTTGCCCTTGATCTAATGTCCACATATGAGGGAGAACATACGATTTTTGGTCTTTTGAGCCAGGCTAACCTCACTCAGAATGATGTTCTCCAATTCCATCCATTTACCAGCGAATGATAACATTTTGTTCTTCTTCATGGCTGCATAAAATTCCATTGTGTATAGATACCACATTTTCTTAATCCATTTGTCAGTGCTGGGGCATCTTGGCTGTTTCCATAACTTGGCTATTGTGAATAGTGCCGCAATAAACATGGATGTGCAGGTGCCTCTGGAGTAACAGTCTTTTGGGTATAATCCCCAAGAGTGGTATTGCTGGATCAAATGGTAGATCGATGTCCAGCTTTTTAAGTAGCCTCCAAATTTTTTTCCAGAGTGGTTGTACTAGTCTACATTCCCACCAACAGTGTAAGAGGGTTCCTTTTTCCCCGCATCCTCGCCAACACCTGTTGTTGGTGGTGTTGCTGATGATGGCTATTCTAACAGGGGTGAGGTGGAATCTTAGTGTGGTTTTAATTTGCATTTCCTTTATTGCTAGAGATGGTGAGCATTTTTTCATGTGTTTTCTGGCCATTTGAATTTCTTCTTTTGAGAAAGTTCTGTTTAGTTCACGTGCCCATTTCTTTATTGGTTCATTAGTTTTGGGAGAATTTAGTTTTTTTAAGTTCCCTGTATATTCTGGTTATCAGTCCTTTGTCTGATGTATAGTTGGCAAATATTTTCTCCCACTCTGTGGGTGTTCTCTTCAGTTTAGAGACCATTTCTTTTGATGAAAGAAGCTTTTTAGTTTTATGAGGTCCCATTTATCTATGCTATCTCTTAGTTGCTGTGCTGCTGGGGTTTCATTGAGAAAGTTCTTACCTATACCTACTAACTCCAGAGTATTTCCTACTCTTTCTTGTATCAACTTAAGAGTTTGGGGTCTGATATTAAGATCCTTGATCCATTTTGAGTTAATCTTGGTATAGGGTGATATACATGGATCTAGTTTCAGTTTTTTGCAGACTGCTAACCAGTTTTCCCAGCAGTTTTTGTTGAAGAGGCTGCTATTTCTCCATTTATATTTTTAGCTCCTTTGTCAAAGATAAGTTGCTATAGTTGTGTGGCTTCATATCTGGGTCCTCTATTCTGTTCCACTGGTCTTCATGTCTGTTTTTGTGCCAGTAACATGCTGTTTTTATTGTTATTGCTTTGTAATATAGTTTGAAGTCAGGTATTGTGATACCTCCTGCATTGTTCTTTTGACTGAGTATTGCCTTGGCTATTCGTGGCCTCTTGTGTTTCCATATAAATTTAACAGTAGATTTTTCAATCTCTTTAATGAATGTTTGGAATTTTGATGGGAATTGCATTAAACATGTAGATTACTTTTGGGAGTATAGACATTTTTACTATGTTGATTCTACCAATCCATGAGCATGGGAGAT